AAAAAAAAACCTTAGAATGGCTATGTAGCTGAGTAAACAACGAATTCCAAATTTTTTTCCATATTTCTTCAGATGATGTATGTGTAAATTAATTCGAAATCAATTTTGATCTAACAGCCGAAATCTATAGACTGAAAGGTGATGATGGACCAGTGTCATTGTACACTATGCCATCACCACATACGCCTCCCTCCTTACTACAGTGCAGGGCTTAATGTGGGGCGGGGGTCACAGACGACGTGGCGAAACCTCCGAAACACCGGTGTATGGCGCTGGCGTGCAAACCTCGTTTAGGCTAAGAACATTCTCTTTTTTTGGAGTTATTTTTAATGTTTATTACGAGGTTTTCATAAGCAGTCGATCATATGGATTGTTTTATTGTAATTCTTGCTTATTCTTTCTTACTAGTTTTTCCACTTTTCCTTTTTTTCAGCTAAAGCAAAAGTAGCACTTCACGTTCGCAGTTCAAAAGCTTACTAAGACTGTATTTCTCAATAATTCTATTCCATTCACTCACTTTTTTCCAATCACTCAACGAGGCAATTGTAAAACGTTTTGGTAAGTTTTACATTAAGGATATTGTGTTTAATGTAGATAATGGAGCAATATCGACATGAACTTTGGATTAAAGATTTCATATGACAGGTTTTTCAAATAAATCATGGAGAGTTGTGGAAATCTTTGCAAACAGTCCTCAAACAGAGCGTACGCACGTGCATCGTTTTCGTTACACGCTGTAGAGAAAGGGTTTATAAATGTTAAGCAGAGTTTATACTAACGAAAATTTTAACAGATTCAAACGACCGTGAAAGCAGCTGAAATTCATGGAGCTCATCTACGTGTATGGCTTTAGATCTGGTCACTGACGAGCTGAATGTGATGTGCGTGGATGCCTATCCATATAAGAATGTGCAGATTCTGACATATCTTCACCAGCGTCTTCCACATCTAGCGGCCTTGAAAATGCGACACACTCAAGTAAATTTCATTCTTTTGGGCTTCAATTACCGTCATTTCCAGATTTTTCAAAGCTTACGGCACTCATCCTTGACAACTATTCTATCGGTAAGCATCCATATGCTTCTCGGAGTCATCGACTGAAATCGCCACATTTTATCTTCAGACGGTGATTTTCAACTTCCAAAGACCATGCGGTCATTAGACTATTCGAAACGTGAGCAGAGCCACGGCACATCTGATTAGCCTCGAGTATTTCAAATTATCTCATGCTATTATGTCGAATCCCATCGATTTTATAGCATTTGTCCACACTGTGAGTAGCAAGCGACGGCCGAAGCTGTAAATTATTGTAAGATTCTCTTTGATACTAATTATTTATTAACCCGTTCTTTTACATTTATCTTCGGCCTAATTGTTCATTACCGTAATAATTTCGAATAGAAACTTTTTAGATGATTCACATATTCTGAATGTTTGATATTTTTCCTTACATCTTGGCAACTTTTTGTTAGAAAAGATTTGAAACACTTCTATCAGAGGTTGCATTCGAACGCTGAAAAAGATTTCTCCTTTGACTAAACTGAATGTTATAGCGAGTCTTCAGATACTGCGAATGTGCAAGATTTGCCCCTCAAATAACCAAAATGACGAGATCGAAATGAATTTCAAGTTGCTAAAATTCGATCTTTGTTACGGGAACACTCTGTCGTCCATTGAGGGTTATCTTGGCTATAATAAGTAAGAAATCATTCTCTGTTCTTCTGATCTATTCTGACGTCGTTATTATATTTGAATTTTTAATGAATAAATAATTTCTGAAAGACTTTTCTAGCAATTCCCTTCTACTTTGCGATTTTTTCCAGGGTATTTAACGTTCTCTCTCTTCACGTGTTGTCCAACCAAAGCTATTGGAAAGTGTGTGATATATTTATTGTGAGCTTCAGCGTCGACGTATTGCTCTATACCTTTCGATTCTGCAAAACTACCCGAAATCATAAACAGAACAGTTCGTTTTGATATCATCGGCTTCAGTCAATTTTCAGTCACGTTCCTTCCCACCTCTTTTGAGAAACCTATCATTTTAGGTTCCATTTCTAAAATATGACACCACCACCGTCATGGTTTAACGTGGTTACCTAGTTTGAAGTTTGTTACCCGTTCTCGCTATTAGACAGCCATGCATACAGTTCAACTACATTTAAACCCTTTGACTCTCACGTTGGATCTCTACGCGGCAGGCAGCGGAATAGTGCGGCGAGTGCAGCGCGGTAGCAATGTGGTAGTTTTCTAATGAATTTATATGTTATGACTACTTGAGAGGGTCTGATCGCTTGCAAATGGTTGGATATGATTAAAAACACTTTAATGAGGCTATTTTTGCTTGGAACATGTCAAGGCAATCACGAAACAATGAATTGGTAATCAAATGATGCTGCACCATGCCGTAATGCACAAAATGTAATGCCGTTTCAACGATAAGGCTCCTCATAATCTCGAGATTGAAGTACTTTGGAAGTTAGAACCTCTTTGGAGTTATTTTAAAAAATGTTTTTAGGCACTACTTTCTGTATCTAGGAATATTCCTTAGATTAGAAATAGAGATCTTTTCTAAGGAAGCATTCTAATAGGTGAATTCAAACCTTATCAAAGCTTGCTCCGGCCACATAATAATAAGGTTGTTCGGTAAATTTGTTTCTAGAATCGCTCATTGTGTTTTCGAATTAATTTACACAACATCATCGGAAGAAATATGAAAAAAAAATTTGGAATTCGTTGTTTACTCAGCTACATAGCCATTCTAAGGTTTTTTTTTTTGAGGTAACTGGGCGTTTTTTCACTAGAAGTTCATTGTGGAGTTTGTTTTAGTAAAAAAAAATTTCCATAGAAATGAGTTTCCTTAAAACCATTTTCTTACTGTTTATACTTTCCCTAAAAATCCACTGTGATCTAGAAACAGTTTACTTCTAAACCAAAGCGATATCCTTTTTTGGTTAGTCATACGTATGATAGAGTTCGTTCCACAAACCACACTTATTATCAAAATCGATATTTTCCAAACTATCGAATAATTATAAGAACATTGACTAGAGAACATATATTACGTAACAGTCGGAAATATGCTATTTTATGCAAATGTTTTCTCACTGAAACAGGGGATTTTTATACAGTGGGGCGTTCATTTTACAAGAAAAAAAAAAACTTTATAAAAGTCTATTGTGTGGTAATCCGCAATTTAATGATGATACTGCTATCTCAGAAATTACCAAACAAATCCCCTTGTCGTCATTACAGCGCAGAAATACAAAATTGTCGCCGTATGCGGCGTGCCATGTGACAAACGAACGCACCTATATGTGCCACTTGGGACTCAAGGAGCTAAATATTCAACTCTTTTTCTTCAAAATTTTCTCATGAACAATTTCCATTTGGAAATTTGCTTACTTGCTTAATTAACTAGTAAAAATTTAGGCTTCATTCATCAACGATGTTGTACTATTCAAGACGTTAATTCTATCAGGACAGCTACATGTGTTGCGTGAATGTAAATTTGTTGAGTGTGATATAATGACGAGTGATCATCTAACGCATTTATCGATGGTGGGTTGAGCTTCAGCTCTTAAATCTTTCTCTGTACTTTTAGAATCGTCTTTTTTCAAGCTATCGAATGACTACAAAAGTTTGCTAGAAGGTCAAGCAGAGACGCCAGCTTAGCAAACGTTGCACGCTTACGTTGAAAAGTATTACTGTGCTGGCCGCTACAGCGCGACAAGTAGGCTTTTCTAGAAATGAAGCACAGAAATGAGATCGCCATTTTTCAGACAATCGAATAATTATTGGAAGTCTAAGAGAAAAGCTCTATTCAGCATAGAAAAACAATACATAATCGTCGATCGAGGACGGTACAATCTGTCTTTAAAAGGTTAAATGACGTTCATCTCGTGATAATGTTTTGTGTTCGCGTTTATTTCTTGGGCGTATTTCATGTTAGCTCGATAACTCATTGGCTCACCAGCAAAATCTGCGTTTTTTCAAAAGCTGCATGAAATACGAAGTGTGACTTTATTAGGTTCCTTCTTTTATCAATTGCAGTTTACACCAATGTTGCGTAGGCTTGATGCCCTCTCTTGTTCAATGCCAGAGGGACCTTCTTATATTCGTACCAAGCATATTCACCAGAATTTCTTCACAGTTACAGGTACAACCTTGCACATTAATGGAAAAAAAAAACCCAGCCGTCTATGTTCTACGAGAGCTTGAGATAACGTGTCAAGAGTCTTGCCGAATGTTATTTAGCGCTCAAGCATGGAAGGCAGAATATGCTCAAAGGGTAAAAAGCACGGTTTACTTCTAAGTGATTTCGAAGCATGCTTGCTACATCAAAAATTTAACATGTTATATCTGTCAGGAATACAATGATCATCACAGACACCGCAAACTTGGATTCATTGTTGGAAAAGATCATCAATTCGAGCGAACAACTCTGAAATGTTCTTACACAATGTAGAGCTAGAATATAGGTAGTATCGTATAGAGCATTTCCTAGGTATACCAAAGGTTTACCGACATGTGAAGTACTTCAGAGTTGTTCTTTTCAATAATATTGAGTTGACATTAAAGTGTATTGATACGTTATCCTGCCATAGTCATTATCATGGCAATACATTGCTACCACCGGATTATTGCTTCACTAATTAGCTGATGGTTATCGTATCATCTGTGAGCTAAATCATTACCAACGTTTTGAAAGTGCACTAATAATCGGAAATGTTGAAAGTTGCTGATAAAAAGGCATTGCACGTAGTACGCAGCATCATTTTTGCCAAACAATTCATTGTTTTGTCATTCTTAGGTGTAACATGTAGGTGGTACATCACAACACTGCGAAATAAGCAGTTATAATTTTGAACTATTATGTATAACAATAGCTGTCGGCTTAACAGGATTTATAAAGCGAAATCGCATATCCGGCCAAACCTGTTAAATTTTGGTGGCTGATAGCTAACATAGAGATGTTGAAGAATGAGTGGTCGGGCAAATGTGCCTCGGTAGTGTGGTGGTTAGAGCCCGCGTCCCCGCATAGGATGAAAACGCGGGTCCGATTCCTGTCTGAGGCCATGTTTTTGCTCACCACTCAGTTCTCTACGTTAATCTAAGGTGTGCTGATTGACGAGTATTACGTGGAAAGAGAGGACATCATCATTCAAAGGTTTATGTCATAATATTCAAATTGAGATGTAGCAGGTGATTATGTAATCATTTGATTATTTATTTATTTACAACTATGTATAGAGATGAATTGTCGGTAACATAATACTTTACAGATAAATGTTATTGAAATATGATTGAATATAAGTAAGATAGCATAGGAATGTTTAGTAACAGATCGAAATATAACCTCTTTGTAAGTAAATGGTTTTCCCCTATAATAATGTGAGTTTCAAGAGCAAACGGAGTTTTTTCACTCAGAGTAGGTATAATAAAATATCTTCAGTCATCAGAGTTTAAAATAATGATTTAAGCCTGAAGTCTGGTACGACATCTGTAATGGTATACGTACGAATTTTTGAGTCAGGTTTCAAACATAGTCGATCGAGAGGTTTCTTCAATCATATTATATCTTTGTTGTGGACGACAGTGTTACTTCAGTGACGATAAAAATTTAATATTTGTGAAAAAACCAAAACAATCTCATTCGAGCGCGCTCGCCAGCCACTCGACTGTGTCGCTGTACAGGCGAAAGATCAATGTGGCGCCGAATGGATTGAAGCGGTATATCCGCGGGTGGATGTTTGACAACTGTTTGCGACCCAACATGTCTTTCGCTCTGTCATGGCTCCATCACTGCATAATCAGATATGGATAACTTGAACTATCACAATCCCATGTCCTGAGCTCTCATCCTCTTAGCTGAATGATATGGTGTTCGTTGAGGCATCGTTGTGGCAAAGGATGCATTTATTGAAATATCGCCGTTCCTTAAAAGATACCGCACCGTTCTGCAATGATGTGGCTAGAAAACAAGGTTCCCATGCCGTTTGTTTCGAGTGTTTTCTTAAGACCATGCTATTTCAATACATCTCATAATTATTATCTGAACCAACATGTCATGTGGTCTGTTTATGGGCTCTTGTACAGCGCCATACACGTGTCTCGGCTGTCAGGGTAAGAAGGAGGAAGGAATGGACCGAAACTTAGAAGAAGAGAGTTCTGCTCAGAGAAAGTGGCCTGCTGGTTCAAAGATCAGAATTATGAGCTAGATGTTCCCCTTGTGAAGTACCAAATTTGTCTACGTAACCTATATACCTCTCACTGTGTAAATACTGTTTTTTTTTCCGGCTTGTTTTTAGTATCTATTTCTACCTGAACAACCATTACACGTGTCTCTAAGGCGCCAGACCTAGAATTGCAGTGTAATATGGAGACACGAATTTAGGAACATGAAACGTTTTTAAAACGTCACTGTCCGCTTTAAGTTGACTTCCAGTAGCATCCCGAATTCGCGATTGATCAACACATCGTTTAGAATCTATTTCACCTTTTATCGTTGACGTACATCATAATTTTGGATGGATTAACAAAGACACATGTACAACTGCTACGAAGAATGCAGCGACGAAGACGCCATAGAAGTTGGAAGAAAACTTCCTTGTGCAAAAACGGATGTTCCTATGAGACGATGACAAATCGTTTTATTGCTCGCAGGCTTGCTGTGTGATCAATTTTCCCATTTTTTTTTTCTCATCGGATGCTTATTACATATACGAAACTATTTCAAACACTTCTGTATTGATTTTGAAGTAGTTCAAAAGCGAAGATATTACAAAGAAAACATTTTTCTAGAAAATTTCAAACCTTTTTTTCCTGCGTTGACTGCATTGAAAATCACTTGTACAGGCATTAGTTCGCAAACTGGAACATTGCGTCTTCGGTCTCTTGTAATGGGCAGTCAATCAGGTTATTCACGTGTCAAACGACAACCTTTGCAAAGAGCAGATGTGAAGGTACTCTTTGCCGGTCCAATATACGCTGACAATTGCCACCGATAGCCACTAGGTGATAACTGGAGTTTTGTATAGCAGGCGCAGGACACAAGTTTGAGGAAATGGCCGAGATCAATAGGAGCCGGATTTCCCATTTAGTCCTACCAAAGTTATGGAAAAGATCCTTATGCTCATTTGCATCCTCTATATTTCGCTTTTTTTCGTTTCCAAGCTCTTTAACAAGTCTCGTATTAATGAAGAATTTGATACCGAAAACCCCAGGATCTTGATGTTACAACCATTTCGGTTGTAACGCCGAGCTCAAAAGTCCTTCGCCATATCGTCAGCTAAAAATGGAAACATGAAACGATATCGTCAAGATGCAAAAAGACATGAAAATGGGTCAATTCTAAATATATCTCACTCTCGCCATCGCCCAGTCTCTTGGAATCAGTATTTCTCCTTTACACATATGACATACGTATGTTGTGCAACTTTCTATGTCTCCTAAAGAGGTCAAAATTTTGTGGAAGAAGAATGCAATGAGATAGAATTTAACGTCATCCAAAGATGACAAGTGGTAAACTGTAGCCGTAAACAACATTAACGCTTGAAAATAAACTGCTGTAATCCTATACTTTTCAAAATCATAAAAGTTATTTGATAGGCTCGCGGAATAACAGCTGGAGTGTAGCCGACAAAACTCTTTCTCTTTGAGATTTCATACTCAAGGAGAGTAAACTGCAATGTTCTGATTCCAAACCTTAGACATTAGAGCACAATACTGTGATTGCAATTTTTTTGATAATGTAATGCATTATTGTGAATTCGAAATGTTAAATACTAAAATGCAAGATTGTGATTCCAATTAATTGATAAGAAAATGCAGTTTGTAAAATTCTAGGCTCTAGACACTTCCCGTTACAAATTCGAATTGTACTTTTGTGAACTTAGCAATGTTGCGTGTTCTCATATCAAAGCGGAAGCATAGGTTGCTAAAACGTTTGATGAGCCCTCTTATTCTGACGAAACGAACGACTATCCGGCATCATTGACACATTTTTTTTGAGTACGTGAGATTGCCGCGTGAAACTGAAGTTGGAATAACTGTAGCGCTAGTACTTCATGTGCAGCATTCCTAATCGGACGTCTCTACGCTTTTTTTAGTATTCATAAACCTTATTAACTGTTCTCATTTACGTGCTATCATAGGTATCAAAAGTTGCATTATCAAACAAATTGCACAATAGTCTTATTCCTTTTTGGGCAATATAAAAACTCGTCCAAACATTTACTAATCTTTCAGCCAATTCAGTGCTAGTAGCGCTTCAAATCTCGAATTACAAAAAAAAAGATGTACTATGTAAGAGAAGATTTCAATTGTCAGGAATGTAAATCATTTCGAAAACTGCGCTTCCAATAACTACGGAACGTATACGATTAGAAATGGACTACTCGAGATTACTCAAGTATTGGAGTTTCAACAGGAAGGCCTGAAAGTGACCCTCTCAAATTTTCGAATAATTTAGTAACCGTATCGCCTGCGGAGTTGAAAGTCACCGTCTGGAGGCGTTCTCAAATGTGATGAGTAAATCAGTCATTCAAGAAGACAGAAGGAAGAGCTATCTATAGAGTAGTTGTCTAGAATAGGTACAGTGAGCTTTAAGTTTTGACAACGCTTTGAAACATTGCACGGCACGCAGTCGTATGGTGAGCTACAATGACAGCGAGGTAGTTTGTGATGAAATTTGGGAGTAGTCGTAATTGATTAATTGAATCAGCCTAAAAATTTAAAACAGCATGACAGACTAAACCTTAATAAGACTACTGGTTCTAGAGGCAGAGGTAATGCTTCTCAAAAAGCAGAACAGTAATGATGAATTTATCAATTCCTTTTCGAAGTGTTAGTGCGTTATCTCATGAGTACTTGTTATAAAATGTATGTTGCCAAAAATATAAATTTTCTGTGAGGTATGGTGGAACTGCTAATAGTAAGTTTTATGATAATTGTCAAATATCTAAAACAAGAATAGGAATAATGGAATAAGTTAATCAATTGAATACCAGATTTACATGGAAACGCGCGCCAATACACATCTCGCCGAGAAAGACGAGAAAGAGTGAGAAGGAGAAATGAGCTACAAACGACTCATGTTGTTGTCAAGGGGTTAAAAAAGCTTAAAATGATGGCAACTGAAGATGGCAAAAATGGAACTCATCTGAGTATGGGCGCATCTTCAACCCTGGAAAGTTTGTGAATTTTGGAAGGGATACGGGAAAATATTCCCATAATCACATAAACAGACGTCTACATATTTCACGTCTAATGAGTCGGCGATTAGATTTAAAGTAACACACTTGAATAAACTCTTGAAATTCTGCTATCTTACTTTCGCGGATATATATTTCACTTAACTTTCACTAATAGTTCTGCTATCGACTGCTTTTTTACTGACTCGCTCAAAATGATTTAATCTGATAAGGATATGACTTATTTTGAGCCATGGGTCTAGTGCTATATAGGCGCCTATTTCGTCCTATTGGGACTCATCAGTAGCACCCTCCCTCGGTTCCGTCGATCCCTTGAGGTTAAATAATCCTCTAAAGGAATCGGCGCCGAGTAAAAACTAATCACCCAAAGTCGGATGATGGTCCTACCTGACTTTGTGGTGACCGGCAGTCGAGCTTACGGCTTTTAAAATGAACTATACTTCTGCTATCGACTGCTTTTTTACAGACCCGCTCAAAATGATTTAATCTGATAAGGATATGACTTATTTTGAGCCATAGGTCTAGTGCTATATAGGCGCCTATTTCGTCCTATTGGGACTCATCAGTAGCACCCTCCCTCGGTTCCGTCGATCCCTTGAGGTTAAATAATCCTCTAAAGGAATCGGCGCCGAGTAAAAACTAATCACACAAAGTCGGATGATGGTCCTACCTGACTTTGTGGTGACTTTGTGTCTATATAGCACTAGACCTATGGCTCAAAATAAGTCATATCCTTTTCACTAATAGGTTAAAAGAAAAGCAATTGCACTAATGTTAGCAAAATGTTAATGTGAATCATGTATTTCTACACAGAAGCTACTAGTTGAGATATTTCAACCATATTTCAACGAATATAAGATGCGCCTCTTATGATTCATTTAATATTATAAGCTCAAAGATACACTGTGCTTCCAACTTTGAACATAACACACTAAACTCCATCAACCGCAACAAAAACCACTAGATATCAGAGAGTGCTGAGTGGTACGTAGCACCTTTTAATCCTAAGAGAGAGTTGATTCCGCGTTTGACCGATATCACGGGAGTTCTGACACCCTATAAGAGCGGTAAAATGAAAAAAATTTGTACACAATACATATTTATCAGCTGCAGCTCAGTGCCTTGGTGATCAAAAATGTCTACCCAACTACTTAACGGTTAATTGTTGACAGCTTCAGCGCTTCATATCAAAAAAAATTATTGCAGGGTGGCGGCCTTAGTGGTGTAGTGGTAGCACACGCCACCGTTATGGGTGCAAAGAGGGTTTAACTACTGCTTGGGGTTGAAGATAGGTTTATCACTCAGCGTGCTTGGATCTATAGTTACACATTATAACACCGCTATAACAGCTACAAATAATAAAATAAAAGTTGCCTTAAAAATCAATAGGCTTTGAAAATCGTTCTCAACGGCAGGAGTGTTTGGCGCAGTGGCTAGAGGTGCTCTGTGACACACATGATCGATGGTTAATGATTCGGTCAGTTTAAGACTCACCAAGCCTTCTGCCCCTTCGAGATCGGTAAACTAATATCAATTTTATGGGAGGATAGCAGCACCTCAATACATTTGTCGGCCACTGCGAGTCATTGCAAAGGCCAGGTGTACAGGCCAATCGTCTCAAGCGACAACGAAAACTGAATACGAATATGGCTCATCTTTGAGAATATGATCAACGGCGAAAGCTTTGTTCTTTATCCTTCCAGCGACAGAAATTTTCGTATTTTAACTAGATGAAAGTTTGATTTCCTCATACACACAAAATCTTCCCAGGCGCCTTGTTCCAGACTAAGCCCATGCTTCAAAAAGCAAAGCTGCTAACCATAGTAAAAACAACCCTCAATTACCGTTTGAATCATATATGTTTCACGCTGGTCACGGCAGCTTCAGGCAAATGACAAGCCCTCTTGATGCACCTTTAACTTTGTACTTGGTTTTTCGATATTGTATGCTACGAATTGCAATTTCCCACATCTTTCATGCGCTTCATATTGTATACTTTTTGAGTCAAAAAGATTAGGGCACTTTAATATTGTGTAGGCAACCATGCGCATTGAGAGGGCACAGAGACATAAAGCTGATTAAGCAGAAGAAATTTATGAAAGTTACGAAGGGCAGCTTCCCCATATTTGCAATTTTTGGTTGCTCAAAGAAGATTCCTGATCCTTTTGTCGTCCTTCTTGAAACAATATATTTTTATTGGCACAACTATGAGCCAAATTTCTTTGGTTTTTCCTAACTTATTAATCCTCATAACTTACGGAATACACAAGATGCTGGTATACTAGGGTGTAGAAAAGCTTGCGGTTGAAAATCTTTGAAACTCTACGCTTTAATTTTGTCAAAATCCGTTTCTAATTCTACTGCTCGAATACAATTTCATCGTGAAATTATTCCTGCAGTCACATGCAAGCTTACCGGTTTAATAAGTTTCTTATCTTGCATGTGAAACGGCGCAGGAATCTGCCATCACATAAACTATCCCATTGATAGATATATCCAATAATGTAGAGTGCTGTGCAAAAGCGTTTGCGTGAGCCGGAATTCGAACCCAAATCTCACTCTTTCCGGGAGCGTATGCTAACCGTTACACTAAATCATCCATCTAAACATCTAACACCGCAAGTAGCGGTCAAATAAAAATGACTTCTGATTGATTATTAATACCCAATATCTGTCAACGTAAGGGTTCAATGTCGATAGTGACGGCCCCGCCAGACCGTGAACGGTTGGCTGATGACAGATAACGCGTTGTAGCGTAGAAGGAGTGGAGTGCAAAACGAGCGTCGACAGTGTAACGGTGAACATACGCTCCCGGAAAGAGTGAGATCTAGGTTCAAATCCCGGCTGACGCAAGCGCATTTGCACAGCACTCTACGTTATTGGGTATATCTAAACATTATAACACCGCAAGTAGCTGTCAAATAAGAATAACTTCTGATTGATCATCAGGCTGATATGTAGCAAAACATCGCTTTTTTGAAACAGAGGTCTCAGCTAAGAACTCCTGACACACAGTTCAAACAATAATAACCAATCAAGACACTCTAATCAAAAAGCCTATGAATTTCTTAAGGTTTTAGCACTGTCTATTCACTATCATAGGTAAATGGAACGAATATCAGGTGCTCAAATTTATGACTTTGCATAAACATGATTAGAATTATCCAGTGACAATATGGGAAAGAAAACTACTTGTGTTTGAGATGGAAATCTGCGAAATATATTTCTTAATACATTCTTTACTTTGGTGTAACATATTTGACGTGTTCCGTTTCTCAACTTCCAATAGTGACAGAAACTCCGATGAAGTTCGGTCCAAATGGCTCAGCTGCTAAGAAACGAGCCGCTCTGTTCATCACGTTCTGCCACATTTGGATTGCCCAATTTGCCATGATCATATTGGTGGTCTGTAAAGAAACTGTCCGTTTACAAGACTATAGCTTCTGGATAAAATGAGAAGCAATCATACCGAGACTGTTCCAGATATAGTTCGATGAGTTTCTGGTACGGGCATGACACCCATAAGCTGCATGTAGTTAGATTCTTGCCCCATTCTAACGCATATGCTGTTAACTGTACTTCCACTAATACAGCAGGCTCCATTCTTACCTAGAACGAGACTTTTAGGTGATGTCTTCTTTATCAAAGTACTGAGGAGATGACAAATCATCTACTGGATTTAGTGAATGCACGCCTTTTTTCAATAACATATTATGTTTCAAATCCCTTACCTAAGAATGCAAGTAAATCGTTCAAAAAAACTGTACAGAAATGAAGTCAAACGAAATAAAGTGAAATCAAGTGTAAAAGCGCCAAGAAACTCGTCAATATTTACACTGATGGTATTCTTGAACTCCTATTGAATTTATTTCTTTTTCATTTATTTGTGATAAAATGTCTTTACTACTCTAAACGTTGCACACAATCCTTTTGTTTCATTCTGTTTTACCAAACCTACTATAAGCAGAGCTTTTTACGTAGCCGACTGAGCGCAGAAATAAAAAGTATCGAAAGCATCAGCTCGATGGTCCCCCTTTTGAGCGTTCAACTCCCGAAGAAATCAGTCGATGACTGCTCTTATCCATCGATTGTTATGAAAACGTATTACTTGTCCGACCTACCTAATTTTCGACATCTGGTGTGTGAAACGACATCTCCGATTTTTGATTTGGCGTCTAAAACTTTGGATTCTTTCTTTCGTTTGATAGACGCGAATATTCCTGGCTTTAATCTTTTGACACCACTTACGATAACGCTAACTGGTCTTTGCTCACCTTATGTATTAGTTAGGTTTCCGATGTACACGTTGAGGAAAAAATGATCAGTGTCGAAAAGTGGGCATGGAACTGGACGAATTTTCTTCCCTGACAATATCTTTAGTGTCCTTAAACGTTTTCCACCATACTCGTTTCCTTCTATTCAACTCTGGAGTTATGTTCTTCACCAATTGACAGCCGAACTTAGATGAACGCAACTAAGGCGTTCTGAGATATTTATTCCCCTGCATGTGAATGGAGCGTTAAAAATCGGTCCCATTCCTTGTAATATAATTTTTGTAAGACCACTCGGTGACCAATCTTTCCACAAACCTCAAAATCGGTTAACACCCATTCTGCTTGACTGAAGTTCTGTATCATGAAAATTGTAATAAAAAGAGCGAAAACTAAGCATCTGTCCGGGTGCATTCACTTGGTTTCGCGTTCTGGAATCTCCCACTTTTCGTTAGTGGTAATATCGTTGTAGATTGCTCGTTCTTTTGGTTCTGAGTTTTCTACATCTCACAAAAAGTTTTCAGTACGTATATGTTGTTAGACGACGACAAATTTATTAACCGATCGCATTCATAGACAGAAACTTTCTATCGGAGTGTATCGAAATCTTGAATCTTTCTCGGTCGGTTTCTCAAAACACCCTTTGATAACGCTGTAAATTCAAAATAGAATGATGTTACCCACGACTACGTGTTTTTTTTTTTTGACTTGCTGTTCCGCTAGATAGAACTTCTTCCTTAGAGTGCAAGAACTCATTTTACACTACAAGCTTCAATGATTTTAAAAATTTGTTTGCCTTTTAAAAGGCTCTTTTGATAATCGATCTCCTTTGGTCAGCTTTTTCTAGACTATTAATAGTCATCTGATAGTGGCGAGGCGGGGCGATTGATATATTGATATTCAACAGGACATTTTCCTTCGCTTTGAGAGGAACTTTTGTTAAAGCAATCTGCTAAGATACTACGAAAGTTCTTTTACACATCTATATGCTTTTCGGCTTTCAGCGAATTAGAACGCGTTGTAAAAATGAAGGCGAAAGGCGAGCGTGAAGCAAAATTTCATTCTAGATACTGTAACCACATAAAGGGGTGTTTCGAAAAATCAGCTTCAAAAAGTTGCAGCCAGCAATTTAAGCTTTCGGAAGATTACTACTGCTCCTATGAAAAATTCCTGTCCAGCGAATGAGATCGGCATGAAAATTTGCCGTCGTCTAACCGAATATGCAACAATGCCTTTAAATCGATTAAGATTGCACAAAAGGTGCCATACCAGACCTCGAAAACTTGAAACGTTCTGATTTTGTCAAACCCTATCCTTCCTGCATTATCAGGCTCTCTAGATAGGATTTGCGTGGAAGTGCACGTGCATTACACGTGAACATTTTTAGGGTACTATGCTGAGATTTAGGCAGCTCAAAAATTTCTCCGGAAATCACATACCTTTCATACTCCCCTCCTCTGACGTTTCGTACTTAGAGCTTTGTGTATTCTGGAAAATGGAGCGAACTCTACTGATATTAGCTTTTTAATACCTACTTGTAATTTGCTAAGAATTAAGGGTATTAAATGAGTGCTCACTCCTTTTATGGGCCGGTTCCTTTGAGTAACAGGAGAAAATTTAGTTATCGGAGGCGACTCCTAACCTAACATTGCTTATACCTAGTCACTCGATTCCACACTCTTAGCTAGTTTGATTCGTGAGGAAAACTAGTGTAATACTGAGGCTTCGAAAACACACAGTCTATTTTTTTGACCAGCCTCCTTCTTGGGGAAGTAATTGACCGCTTTAAAGCTATCGTTCAACTGCACTGTCCACAGCCCTGAGGAGCTCTTTGTGCTCTCGCGACTAACGGACAAAGATTTTTCAGTGGCGAAAACCCGTTGCAGTTCTATTTTTTATTTCCTGCCATTATACACCCCATTCTATTTTTTATTCACTGCCAGTATACACGAGCTCAAAGGATAGAGACAGATAACATTCTCTTTTCTAGCTTTGAAAATGTCTGAGTTCGTATGGCTAATAGCCGAAAGCCTGATACGCGAATCGATCAGTTTACTGAATTTGAGAAATACCAATGAATACAGACCCATAGTTAATCGGCCTGGATTGACATGTACTTCTTCGCATTTGAGTGGAGTGTAGGTAGTTTCCACAGTAAGTTGATCCAAAATAGCTGATATCACAGTAGGAAAGAGGCCCGCACGACGACCTTGTGCTTCCAATACATCAATTATCTAAACATGTTCAGTAGTAGCTAATTAAAACGATCTCCATCTGATGTACCAGAAACCATAGCCACTGATGCAAGAGAAACCAAACTTTTTTGTGCAACTCACAGCTCGCAATGTCATGCGATGTACGAATGATTGGACCTCCATTGCGCTTCTTAAAATTCCAAGATTTTAACAGCTTCAGCTGATGTGGTCCAGGCCATATTAACAGGTAGAGTAAATCCAGTGACGTTAAAGGTTAATCTCCTTGCTACGAAATAAGAAACGTCAATAGTCTGTTCAATGGGGTGTGACTGCTGTTAAACTTCTCTTATAATCATGTCTACAAGGTGTGTTTTCAGATTTCTCAACAGCAGAAAAATACTGTACAAGCAAATGAAATATTATAACAAAATTACGTATATTAGAAGAGCAATTATGAAAATTAACAAAAAAACTTACAGCAACTTCTCAAAATTGAGTCCTTTGACCTCTATGCATTCCGAAGTCGCTTGCGAGAAATTCCAATGTAATTGCGTACCTTTCCACCATGATTTCGTCAAATGCGCATGTCGAATCCGTTTTGAGCGCGTCTACGCTGAGTGCGAGTAGCCGAAACTTCATCCTACAGTATAGACCACACGGAATAATCCATTGAGCTAGGAGCCAGAGAGTTTGACCACCGAATATCTTTCCTCCAGCCTGAAACTTCTCATGACAGATGCCAATCGTTGAACGGGTCGAATATGTAGGAGTCCAATCCTGATGAATTGCCAAGCCGTAGACACCAGGTATTGCATATTCTAAGGCTACAGTACACTTTGTAAAATTTGCTGATGATAATTGGTAGCGCTGATTTTTAAGTTTCCGTTGTTGAAGAACAACGGTATCTTTCCGGTAACACAAATGCCAGCCCAGACCATTACAGAAGCCGGAAAATGACTGTGGTCCACGATTTTTGCTACTGCCGACTTCTGTTGCCTATTTCCGAAAAGTTTGCGTCGATTCTGCCGCTTATGGAGTGGTTTGACCGCGGATTTCTTCTCATCCGTGTAATGGCACCTCCGACAAACGAGCACCAGCTATCAAACGAATCATTCAGCGAGCCTTTGATTTTTCCGTTGTTTTGGAGTTGAGTGGTGATGTAGTGCACGCGCCCCGGATAAGGTGAAACGTGAGTTCGAGTTTCACCTGGCGCAAAAGTTTTGCACATCACATTACACCAATGGGCATATTTGTAATATCGTACCATAGCTATAAAGCGACTAAAAAAACGAACTCTGTCTGATTCTTTAAATTTCGCTTTTCTTCCATCCTTTTATCTGTGAAGTGAACACGAGCAATCATGTCGGTGGGCAGCATCTGCTTATT